GGGTGCCTGGCGTGCCGGATGATATGGCTGTTGGTTTTGGTTCTTTTTCCAAAAGAACTCCCCCTGGGGCTTCGGCCCGTCCCGCCGGCCACCCGGAAACTGCACAAGTCAATGCCTGAAACGGCCGTTTCGCTTGGGACATCCTCAAAAAATCGCGAAGATGGCCCAAGATGTCCTCCAAGTCCGCCCAAGATGGTCCAAGACGGCCTCCCAGACGGCCCAAGAGAGTCCAAGACGGCCCAAGACGGCCCAAGACGGCCCCCCAGAGGCCTCCCAGACGGCCTAAGAGGCCTCCAACAGGTCCTCCAGGAGGGCCCGAAGAGGCCGAAATCCTTATTCTTTCTTAGGTTTTTGAAAGATTTTGGAATTTGCGCCTTCTCGGAATTCCGACGGCTCAACCAGCCCAAGAGACCCCCAAGATCGCCCACGAGGCCCCCAAGAGGGCCCCATGACGGCCCAAGTGGCCTCCAAGACGGCCCCAAGAGGGCCCAAAGATGGCCGAAGAGGCCTCCAGCACGCCCAAGATGGCCTCCAAGACGCCCAAGATGGCCTCCAAGACGGCCCCGAAGCGCCCCAAAAGCCCCGATCGGAGCAGAAAGGCCCCCAAGACGGCTCCCGACGGCGTCAGACGTGCCATGAACCCACCAAGATAGCCGAAGTTGGCTCGAAGCTGGCCCAAGACGGCCCAAGAGGTCCCCAAGAGGGCCTCCAGGAAGACCAGAAGAGGCCAAAAACCTTGATTATCCTATGGTTTTTAACGGAAATCGATATTTTCTTCTTTTCGGCCTTCTGACGGCTTGAGACGGCCCAAGAGCCCCCAAAAATCGCCGAAAGATCGCCCAAGAGGCCTCCAAGATGACCCCAGAACGGCCCAAGAGGGCCCCAAGACGGCCCCAAGAGGCCCCCCAAGACGGCACAGGAGGCCTTTAAGACGCCCAAAATGGCCTCCAAGACTGTCCAAGAGCCCTCCAAAACGTCCTCCAAGAAGGCCCGAAAGGGTCAAAATGGCCTCCAGGCGGCCAAGACGACCTTCAAGATGCCCACGTGTTCCCCGAAGGCTTTCCAAACCGATTCGGGGAACACATGGTCCGATAGCTTGGCAGGTCTGGCCTCAACGTTCGGCCACATAAGCGCTTCCAAAAAGGCAGGGGGCGGCGGTGATTCGCCGTAGGCATCTTAGATCCGCCGCCCCCTGTCGATTCATCGCAGGGGTGCCTGGCGTGCTAGATTATTTCGGTTTTGGTTTTGGTTCTTGTTCCAACAGAACTCCCCCTGGGGCTCCGGCCCGTCCCGCCGGCCACGCGGAAACTGCACAAGTCAATGCCTGTTGCGCCCCAAGATGGCCCAAGATGGTCCCAAGACGGCCAAGATTGCCCAGGATGGCCTCCAAGATGCTTCCAAGACAACCAAGATGGCCTCCAAGACGGCTAAAATGGCCCCAAGATGCATCCAAGACGGCCCAAGATGGCCTCAATATAGGGAAAGACGGCCCAAAAGGCCCACAAGCGGACTCCAAGACGGCCCAGGAGGCCTCCTAGAGGTCCTCCAGGAAGGCCCGACGAGGCCAAAATCCTTGATTGTTCTTAGGTTGTTGAAGGATTTTGGCATTTGGGCCTTTTCCCAAGATCGCCCAAGAGGCCTCCAGGATGGCCCCATGACGGCCGATGACGCCCCCAAGACCGCCCCAAGAGGGCCCGAAGACGGCTCAAGCGACCTCCAAGACGCCCAAGATGGCCTCCACGACGGCCCTGGATCACCCCAAGAGGACCCCCAGTCGGCCCAGAAAGGCCCCCCAAGACAGCTCCCGACGGCGTCAGACGGGTCAGAAGCCCACAAGGATGGCCGAAGTTGGCTCGAAGCTGGCCCAAGACGGCCCAAGGGGCCTCCAAGAGAGCCTCCAGGAAGGCCAGAGAAGGCCCAAATCATTGGTTTTCTTTTGGCTTTTCAAGGATCGCGACATTTGCTTCTTTTCGGCCTTCCGACGGCCCGAGACGGCCCAAGAGCCCCCAAAGATCGCCCACAGAGCGCCCAAGAGGCCTCCAAGATGGCCCCAGGACGGCCCAAGAGGCCCCCAAGACGGCCCAGGAGGCTTTTAAGACGCCCAAGAAGGCCTCCAAGACGGCCCTGGAGCATTCCAAGAGGGCCTCAAGTCGGCCCAGAGAGGCCCCCCAAACGGCTTCCGACGGCGTCAGACGGGCCAGGAGCCCACCAAGACGGCCGAAGATGGGCCTAAGATGGCCCAAGACGGCCTAAAGGGCCTCCAAGAGGGCCTCCAGGAAGGCCAGAAAAAAAAACAAAATCAGGGTTTGCCCATGAGTTGTTGCAGGATTGTGGCATTTGCTTGTTGTTCAGCCTCCCGACGGCCCGAGACGACCCAAGTGCCCCCAAAGATCGCCCAAGAGGCCCAAGAGGCCCAAGACGGCCCCAAGAGGCCCCCAAGACGGCCCAAGAGGGCACGAAGACGCTCAAGATGGCCTCCAAGACGGCCCACGAGCCCTCCAAAACGTCCTCCAAGAAGGCCCGAAAGGGTCAAAATGGCCTCCAGGCGGCCAAGTCCGAAGGCTTTCCAAACCGATTCGGGGAACACATGGTCCGATAGCTTGGCAGGTCTGGCCTCAACGTTCGGCCACATAGGCGCTTCCAAAAAGGCAGGGGGCGGCGGTGATTCGCCTTAGGCGTCTTCGATCCGCCGCCCCCTGTCGATTAATCGCAGGGGTGCCTAGCGTGCTGGACTTCTTACGGTTTGGTGTCGGTTCTTGTTCCCAAAGAACTTCCCCTGGCGCTTCGGCCCGTCCCGCCGGGATCCCTGAAGGCCGCGTTAACCACCTCAGCGTCCACAAAAAGTCAGCCAAGACGGCTCAAGATGGCCTCCAAGATGGGCCACGTTGGCCCAAGATGGCCTCCAAGATGGTCCAAGATGGGCTCCAAGTTCGCCCAAGATGGTCCAAGACGGCCTCCAAGACGGCCCAAGAGAGTCGAAGATACCTCCAAGTTCGCCCAAGAAGCCTCCAAGACGGCCCAACACGACCCAAGAGGCCTCCACGAGGTCCTCCAGGAGGACCCGAAGAGTCCCAAATCATTGATTTTCCTAAGGTTTTTGAAGGATTTTGGCATTGGCCTCTTCTCGGCATTCCGACTGCTCAAGACGGCCCAAGAGGCCGCCAAGATCGCCCCAAGATCGCCCACGAGGCCTCCAAGAGGGCCTCATGACAGCCCAAGAGGCCTCCAAGACGGCCCCAAGACGGCCCAGGAGACCTCCAAGACGCCCAAGATGGCCTCCAAGACGGCCCCGAAGCGCACCAAAAGGACCCCAAGTCGGCCCAGAAAGGCCCCCCAAGACGGCTCCCGACGGCGCCAGACGGGTCAGGAGCCCACCAAGACGGCCGAAGTTGGCTCGAAGCTGGCCCAAGACGGCCCAAGGGGCCTCCAAGAGGCCCTCCAGGAAGGCCAAAAAAAAGGCAAAAAAAAAAAAAAAAAAAAAAAAAAAAAATGGTGTTCTATAGAATGGTCGGTGGGTTTTGACACTTGCTTCTTTTCGGCCTTCCGACGGACCGAGACGGCTCAAGAGCCCCCAAAGATCGCCCACAGAGCGCCCAAGAGGCCTCCAAGATGGCCCCAGAACGGCCCAAGAGGCCCCCAAGACGGCCCCAAGAGGCCCCCAAGACGGCCCAGGAGGCTTTTAAGACGCCCAAGAAGGCCTCCAAGACGGCCCTGGAGCATTCCAAGAGGGCCTCAAGTCGGCTCAGAGAGGCCCCCCAAACGGCTTCCGACGGCGTCGGACGGGCCAGGGGCCCACCAAGACGGCCGAAGATGGTACTAAAATGGCCCAAGACGGCCCAAGAGGCCTCCAAGAGGGTCTCCAGGAAGGGCCGCAAAGGCCCAAAGCATTGATTGCCAATGAGTTGTTGCAGGATTGTGGCATTTGCTTGTTGTTCAGCCTTCCGACGGCCCCAGACGGCCCAAGTGCCCCCAAAGATCGCCCAAGAGGCCCACAACGGCCCCCAGAGGCCCCCAAGACGGCCCACGAGGCCTCCAAGACGCTCAAGATGGCCTCCAAGGCGGCCCTAGAGCCCCCCAAGACGTCCTCCAAGGAGGCCCGAAAGGGTCAAAATCGCCTCCAGGCGGCCAAGATGACTTTCAAGATGCCCACGTGTTCCCCGAAGGCTTTCCAAACCGATTCGGGGAACACATGGTCCGACAGCTTGGCAGGTCTGGCCTCAACGTTCGGCCACATAAGCGCTTCCAAAAGGCAGGGGGCGGCGGTGATTCGCCGTAGGCGTCTTAGATAGCGACGTCGCTGACAAGCGACTGCGAAACCATGAAATCGACGATTCCGACCTGGTTTGTCGGCTGATCGTGATTTGGCTTTGTCAGACGGCACCACTCGTACTGCCTAAGTCCGCGCGACGGAAAAGGTGGAGGAGGGGGCGGAAATGGGGGAGGCGGAGACGGACGAGGAAAAAGGACACGGTGGAGGCAGGGACCGATGTCCCGTGCGGCCAAACGACCAGCCCATCGGCCAGCGCCGATAAAGTGGGAAAAGGGCGGGAGGGAGGAGGAGGCAGAGGAAGAGGAGGAGGAGGAGGAGGCGGAGGAGGGGGAGGGAGTGGGCAAAGGACGAAACGGACAAAAATAAGGAAGGGAGAAGAAAGAAGCTGGAGGGGGCGGAGGCGGAGGCAGGCCTCCGACGCTGTGCTCTCTCACGGCGCAGGCCAAAAGGTCACTCGACCCTGGCCTTCCCCGTGGGGCCGCTCTCCAACGGTTCCGGGGCCCTGAACAGCGCTTCGGGGGAGAGGCGCACCTCTCGTACGCATGGAAAAATGCATGCAGTGTTCGATTTGCGTGTCGTCCTTGCACAGGGCCATACCAACCTCCTCTGTATCCTTCATACTGTCACGGATGATCATCAATGGGGATCCTGAGGAGACGCCCATTGCGTTGTTTTTCAACGACGTGTGGAAATTCGGGCGAGGTGGAAACAAAGAAAAAACGATGAATACCTCATCGAGGCGCTGCTCGTTCTTGCGCTGCGTGGCCCAGAGGCTGTGCTTCAGCGACTTGACCACCTGGGCCGCCGCTCGGGTCCGTAGGCCGGACCGCATCGCCGACAAAATCGTCCACGCGGCAGCGAGGTCTTATCTCGGGGATGGGCAGACCTCCCTGTAGGAAAGCGTGGTTATGTGAAAACGACCTCGGGCACAAACCTGGTGGGCGCAAGCCTGGAAGAGGACGGCCGCGGCGCCCCCTCGAGAACCAAAAACGGACAATTCACGAATCGACGTGTCAGGGGGGGGTTCGGTCCACCCCCGATTAGCGCTAAAGATCGAATCCCGGATCGCCGGCGCAGTGCAACCAGAGGGCCACATTTGATCCAGCACTCCTGCGGGGGCCCGAACCCATCGCAGGGCAATCGGCAATCGACGACGCGACACTGGAGTGCCTCCGACCCCCCTCCCGTTCCTCCCCCTCCTCCTCGAGGCCGGGGGATTGTGGAGTCGCTGTGGGTTTTAAACGAAAATTTACGATATTTCAGTTTGGTTTGTTCCTCATCATTATGCTGATGTTTCCTTTCTCGTTTTCTCTCTCTCTCTCTCTCTCTCTCTCAATCTCTCCCACTCCCATTCCCATTCCATTCCCATTCCCAATACCATTACCATTACCATTCCCATCCCAATTCCCATTCCCATTCCCATTACCGTTACCATTACCTTTACCTTTACCTTTATCTTTACCTTACCTGTACCATTACCATTACCATTACCATTGCCATTACAATTGCCAGTGCCATTACCATTGCCATTACAATTGCCATTATCATTGCCATTGCCATTGCCAGTGCCGTTGCCATTGCCATGGTATTGCCATTGCCAGTAGCCACCCCGTTACCATTACCGTTACCATTACCATTACCATTCCCATTACCATTACCATTCGCCACCACCATTACCATTGCCATTATCATTAGCATTACCAACACAATTGCCATTACCATTACCATTACCGCTGCCATCACCATTACAATTCCCATTCTCATCATCATTGCCATTACCATTACCGTTACCAGTACCATTTCCATTACCATTGCCATTATCTTTCCCACTACCACTACCATTTCCATTCCCGTTCTCGTTCCAATTACTACTACGATTCCCATTCCCATTCCCATTCCCATTCCCATTCCCAATACCATTACCATTACCATTACCATTACCATTACCATTACCATGACCATGACCATTACCACTGCCATGGCCATTGCTATTGCCATTGCCGTTGCCGTTGCCATTCCCATTACCATTGCCAATCGCTACCCCGTTACCATTGCCATAACCATTACCATTACCGTTATCGTCACCATTACCATTCCCAGTACCATTATCATTACCACTGTCATTGCCATTACCATTACCATTGCCATTGCCATTGCCATTCGCCACTACCATTACCATTGCCATTCGCCACTACCATTACCATTACCATTGCCATTGCCATTGCCCTTCGCCACTACCATTACCGTTGCCAGTACCATTACCATTCCGATTAACATTCCCATTCCCAATACCATTACCATTACCATTACCATTACAACTGCCATTGCCATTACCATTACCATTACCTTTACCTCTACCTTTACATTTACCCTTACTCTTACCATTCCCGTTTCCGTTACCACTACCGCTGCCATTTCCATGCCCGTTCCCATTGCCATTCACATTCCCATTCCCGTTCCCATTCCCATTCACATTACCATTGCCATTACCATTACCATTGCCATTGCCATTGCCATGGCCATTACCATTGCCATTGCCATTCCCATTGCCATTGCCATTGCCATTGCCATTGCCGTTGCCGTTGTCATTGTCATTGCCATTGCCAGTCGCCACCCCGTTACCACTATCATTACCGTTCCCATTACCAGTACCATTACCATTACCTCTGTCATTACCATTACCATTCGCATTGCCATTGCCATTGCCATTAGCCACTACCATTACCATTGCCAGTACCATTTCCATTGACATTCCCATTATCATGACCATTACCATTACCATTACCATTACCATTACCATTATCACTATCATTTCCATTACCATTACTTTTACCTCGACCTTTACCTTTACCCTTACCCTTTATCATTCCCATTTCCGTTACCACTACCACTACCATTTCCATTCCCGTTCCCGTTCCTGTTCCCATTCACATTCCCATTCCCGTTCCCATTCCCATTACCATTGCCATTATCATTACACTTACAATTGCCATTGCCATGGCCATTATCATTGTCATTGTCATTGCCAATCTCATTGCCATTGTCATTACCATTACCGTTGCCATTGTCATTGCCACTGCCAATCGCTACCCCCTTACCATTACCATTACCGTTACACTTACCAGTACCAGTACCATTACCTCTGTCATTACCATTACCATCACCATCACCAATGCCATTGCCATTCCTCACTACCATTACCATTGCCAGTACCATTTCCACTCCCATTCCCATTACCATGATACTACCGCTGCCATTACCATTAGAATTCCCATTCTCATTCCCATTCCCAATACTATTACAATTTCCAGAACCATTACCATTACCATTACCAGTGCCATTACCATTACCACTACCACTATCATTTCCATTCCCGTTCCCGTTCCCATTCCCACTTCCATTCCCATTACGATTACCATTACCATTACCACTGCCATTGCCAGTACCATGACCATTACCATTACCATTACCTGTTAACACTACCTCTTACCTCTACCCTTACCATTACCATTACCATTGCCATGGCCATTACCATTGCCATTGCCATTGCCATTGCCATTGCCATTCCCATTGCCATTGCCATTGCCATTACCATTACCATTACCGTTGCCATTGCCATTGTCATTGCCTCGCTACCCCGTTACCACTATCATTACCGTAACCATTACCAGTACCATTACCAGTACCATTACCATTACCATTACCATTGCCATTGCCATTGCCATTGCCATTGCCATTCGAGGATTTCAGTAGGAATCATTCAGTGGAGGGTTTCAGTAGGAATCCACACGGGGAGGATTTCGGTAGGAATCATTCAGTGGAGGGGTTCGATCGGAACCCTTCTGTCGAGGATTTTACTGTGAATCCTTCTTATGGGGGCGTCCAATAGGAATCCTTCTAGGGGGGAGGGCAGATGTGGTCACGTCGCGTTCCTTTTTTTTTCTCCTGGCGCCCCCCCCCCCCAGGAAAAAAAATGTTGATTTTTTTTTCTGGGGGGGGGCGCCTGGAGAAAACAAAAAAAAAAAAAAAAAAAAAAAAAAAGTAGCAGGAGGGGGAGAGGGAGGAGGAGGAGGGGGCGGAGGAGGAGGAGGAGGACGACACAGAGCAGAGTTTGCACAGAAACTGTCGCCAACTCAGCGCGAAACCCTCTCGCGCGCGCGCGCGCTTGTGAACCCCTGCGACTCCACAATCCCCCGTTCTCTCCTCCTCCTCCTGCTCCTCCTTCCTGGCCATATTCGCACGCCCTCCTTATATGTTCATTCCCCCACTCCTCTTGAACATCACCACAATCAGCATGTCGATCGCAAGCTCCATGCGCATCAAGATAAGCATCCACACCCCCCCCCCGCCAGCCCTCCGAGGAGGGAAAGGAATGAGGGGGGAGGCAGGAGGGAAGGGGATGGAGGGAGGGAGAACTTGGCGCGGCCAACCAAGCGGGCACGAGGCGTCGGACAAAGCGATCGAACTGCGTACCCAGCCGTGCCCCAAGCTGCGTTGTAGCCCCCATCGCCCTGCGCCGCGTCCGTGACCATGGCGGCCGCGCCCGGGTCCCCATCCGGACCCAACAGGCCCCCCCACCCGAGCCACTGCCGCAAAAAGAGCCACGCATTCACGCTCTGACTGTTTGGGACATGTTCGGCTTGTCGATTTGATCCAGGCACAACGGGAATTATACATGATTCTCGCTACAGGCAGGAGCCGCATCTGTTGAGAGCTTCATACATGCATTCCGTAACTTATTTTCGATGTCGAACAGGTTACCAAAACGAACTAGGGCGGCAGACGGGCGTCGTCGCTGCTCTTGCCCACGGGGGTCGCCAGGCCACTCCGTGGGCGAAGCTGGCAGCGGTGTCGTCGACCGGGACGGCGATGCCTCCGCGGCGGTGATCAGCCGAACCCTTGACGCGCACATGTCGGCACGGCCGCCACGGCAGGCGCACCAGATGCACGTCGCCGCGCGCCGCACCCCGCGGCCATAGCACCGTCTCGCGTGGGCCAAGACCATCGAGAATCAGACTTGTGACCGCAGGGCCCCCGCGAGCAGCTCCAAAAATTCTCTGCGGGCGCCATCTGTCAGCAGCGGTCGCTCTGCTGACCACGCGGACTGGTGTCCCACTGGTGTCGGCCGGCGTCCTGGAAGGGCGCCGCAGACGTTTTCCGTCGGCGGCGAAGCAAAGTTGGCTGCACCAGCGAAGAAGCTACAGATGGGGGCACGGAACAGCGAAGCGGCCAGCACCCAGGGCGTGGGAAGAGGGCAGGCAGGCGGCCGCGGCGGGGGAGGAGAAGAGAAGGCCACTCGGAGGCGAAAGAGCTTGCAGCTGAGCGTGCTGCCGCGGACAAGTCGCCTTCAAATCCACCCTCGGGGGGGGAGAGCCACGCCAGCGCGCGCGCGCGGAGCGCAGCATCGGCGAGGCCCGCAGCGTGCGCCAGGGCGCGCACGACGTACGCCGCTTCCTCGGACACCACCACGCCGACCTTTTCTGGGGAGCCATCCGTACCAGTCGTGGCCCCTCCTCCTCATCCCTCTCCTCCTCCTCCTGCTCATCCTCCCTCTCCTCCTCCTCCTGCTCATCCTCCCTCTCCTCCTGTTCATATTCCTCCTCCACTTCCTCCTCCTTCTCCTCTTCCTTCTCCTCCTCCTGTTCCTCCTCCTCCGGGGAGACTGGTGCGAGAGGCAGCGTGAGGGACGAACTCGCAGGCTACGTGGGAGGCAATGAGCATGTGGACCACGGAGGCCAACTGAGAGGCGCCCAGGTTGACGCCTAGCAGACAAGGGAGTTCCTCGTGTGGCGCGGGGCGGGTGTGGGAGTTCCCCGAGAGCTGCCACGGCAAGGTGCAGGCCGCTGGCATCTGGGAGGATGAAGGTCGCCGCTTGTGCGTCCGCAGTTTGGTCCCCAGGGAGGGCTCGGGAGGGGAAGATGATGGAAGTGCCTAGTTCAGCAGCCGCTGCAACGGCCACCGATGGGGAAACGGAGCAGGGAGCATCGTCCGGAACGTGGATACGAGGGGCCTGCCCGGGGGTGCGCTGCCATCGCTGGGGGAGGACTCGGGGGCATGCGAGAGGGTCCACGCGTGGACTCTCCAACACAGGACCTGCAGCGGCCGGGCGGGCTGTGTCACTGCGCGGGGGCGCAGTGTGAGGAGAGGGGGATGATGATGATGATGATGATGATGATGATGATGATGATGATGATGATGATGATGATGATGATGATGATGATGATGATGATGATGATGATGATGATGATGATGATGATGATGATGATGATGATGATGATGATGATGATGATGATGATGATGATGATGATGATGATGATGATGATGATGATGATGATGATGATGATGATGATGATGATGATGATGATGATGATGATGATGATGATGATGATGATGATGATGATGATGATGATGATGATGATGATGATGATGATGATGATGATGATGATGATGATGATGATGATGATGATGATGATGATGATGGATGATGATGATGATGATGATGATGATATGATGATGATGATGATGATGATGATGATGATGATGATGATGATGATGATGATGATGATGATGGATGATGATGATGAATGATGATGATGAAGGGAGGAGGAGGAGAGGAGGAGGAGGAGGAGGAGGGGAGGAGGAGAAGGAGGGGAGGAGGAGGAAGGAGGAGGGAGGAGAGGAGGAGGGGAGGAGGAGGAGGAGGAGGACGAGGACGAGGACGAGGACGAGGACGAGGACGAGGAGGAGGAGGAGGAGGAAGAGGAGGAAGAGGAGGATGAGGAGGGGCGGAGGGGGGGAGCCGTAGGAGTGGGAGGGGGTTGAGCGCCGACCGCCGAGGGATGACAGAGGGGCGCTCCGCTTGCGCGCCCAGCGCGGGCGTAGTGCCGGGAGGGATGGGTACCACCTGGCGCGCCCAGGAGGGCAGCGTCGCGGTCGGAGCGATGGCCAGAGGGTCACTCGTCGGGGGCGCGCAGAAGTGGATCAGCGATCCATGGATTTGGCGCGCGGTCGCCAAATCGATGGATCGGGGGAGGTGCCCTCCCCACAATGCGGCCGGTGCCGCCTCGTTCAGCGGCGGAAGCCCGCGATGTCCCCTGGAAAGGGGGCCCGTCGCTGATCCACGCCCCCCTGATCCATGTTTGCGATCGCCTGAACTCGGGAGCGCCGAGGAGGAGACCATGCCGGAAGGTGCGCCGCGAAGGGCAGGGCCGGGCGAGGGTCCGCGTGCCCCAGGGGGCGCGCCAGCCGGCGGCGGGGCGGAGCTCGCAGCTGCACGGGGGGTCCCCTGTTAGAAGGACTGATATGGGCTCTGCTGCCGGCGGGGAGCGAAAAAAGGGGCGCGGGTCAGGGGGGGGCGGGGGCAGAGGAAAGAGAACCGTGCACATACACCGATCCTGGCCAGGCCCATCCTGAGCCCAGGTTCGGTGCACACGCCCGCCTACCTTGGCCAGGAAGGCACATGCACCGATCCTGGGTCCAGGATGGGCCTTGCCGGGATCGGTGCATGTGCATAGCTCTCTTCGCCCGAGGGGGTCGGAGCGGGCCACGGCAGGCTCCAGCGCAGCGGGGAGGGCGCGGGCGGGCCCCGTGCACCCTGGGGCGCGCACCTCGCGGGCTGCACGGAGGGGGGTTGTCGTGCGCACCGGGGGCGCCAGGCGAGCTGGCGATTGTCGCCGGTCGAGACAGGTCAGGAACGAGCTCGCGACGGGGTCGGCAGGCAAGGGCACGGCCTCCCGCGGCGCTGGCCTCCAGATGGGCAGCGAGACACTGCGGGTGAAAGAAGTGCCCGCGCGCGAGGTTTCAGGCCCCGTGCGGCACCTCCTCGTGACATACCGCGCACGCCGGGACCTCGTGGAGCTCCTGAGTGGCAGTGTGGCGGGCCCTGCGGCCCGCGCGGATCGGAAGGCGAAGAGCACCTGGCCAGGCGCCTTTCCCCGCGGGGGTGAAGAGGATGTCCGCGCGGCCCGCTCCCAGTCGGCGGTACAGTCGGGGCGTTGACCTAAGGAACCCTAACTAAGGAACGAGGCCCCTTTTTTCCATAAGTGAACCTTCGATGTCCTGTCGAAAACATAAGGAAAGCCTGAGGCAAGCTGTGAAACACGTAAGGAACGCGGAGCCCCTCCCCAACGAAAAGGGTTCCTTCTTCAGGGCCCCGACTGTACAGGGGAGGGGGGGCTTCCCCACCCACGGCTAGCAGGCGCCCCAGCTGGCCAGGGGCATGGAGGCCGAA